CTATTAATCATGGTTGTGTGTGGGTAGGTGGGGGATTGAAAGGGAAAGTTGCATTATGAACCATCTTGCACTGTTTGATTTTTCTGCTACAAGCATCTATTTGGTTGATTACTAAAAATTTTGAAAGACTAGATTGCAACCAAGTGGACTTTTGAAGGGGAGTAGAGAATGATTCTTTTAAAATGAGGTAGGAAAAAAATGAGGTAGAAGGTATACTGGAAATGTCAATTCAAGTGTGTATTTGACAGTGATCAGGTATCTAAACCTCTAACAGAAATTGTCAGTAGAGGGCCTTCAAGAGAATATTATTATTTGTCTTGATATGGCTATGAAAATAAATTGTGGTCAGGAAGGTGAACAGATTTGGGCTACAGAAAACCCCAAAGTTACAGAGTTTGAAGTATTTAGGATTATAGAACTGTGAGAACTGGTGTGCATTAAAAATATGGATCTTCATCCAGAATTGTGCTCAGATATAAATCACCAGTACTAAATATCACCCAAGCTCATTGGGATCTGTTATGTCCAAAATTGTTCTACATTTAAGATAATAATATATTTGTAATTACCTTTTAATTCCATAAATTCTTGTTTATGAGTAGTCTCTAATGTCTTCTACTAACCGATCATGTTACCAACTTCCCGAGAGTTCTGATTTTCATTTAGGGATACGGAAAGGATGTAGGGGAAGTGGATGCTGTATAGCGATACTTGTTAGATTAGGATAGGAGAATAAGGGTCACACCTTCTGGACATGGTACAGATGGAATCAGCTTCAGCTTGTTTATAATCTGTCACTAATTTTAACAACAATTAAAAAGATTTTTGAAAGGAAAGAAGAGATAGAACTGGGGCACCGAGAAAGCTTTTCTTAGGCAGCAATTGGAGGGAAACGTCTAAACCTTGTCAGCAGAGCTCAAACAGAGAGAGTCATGCCACTGTTTGGCTGTGGGAAGAGGAGGCTCAGAGCTGCCGATCAAGCTTCACTATGGACAAGGGTGCAATCATTATTTGAATTGCCATCAGAAACTAAGTCCATTGTAGTGTAGAAGGTAGCAAGCACCAAAGGACTGCTTGCCCCTTATAATCTGGATCTCTTGCACTCATGTCAGAGATGTCAGTGAGCATCCCAACTTGCTCTGTATTAGACAGTAAGTACTGAGGTATAACTTCAGATTAATGTGGCCTGGTAGCTGAATAAAATTTAGGTAGAACTGTCATATTTCAATTTGTTTTAGGCATAGTAGCTGCATGTATTTTCTATCAGGAGATGAGAATTTCTTGACATATTTATTAAAAATATGATATTCTTGATACTAGTAGGCTGATCTAAAAAATATAGTTTATATTCTTTGAAATGAAATGGTAATAGGCCCAAATCCAGCCTCATCAGATGGAAACAAAGGGGTGTGCTAGGGGAAGAGTAGGCCCATTCTGTTTATACAGGTTTTCACATGACTTTTCTTTTACAAAGTACATGGAATGCATCCAAAACAAATAATGTTTTGTTGGATGAGAAGACCAAAAGGAAAAGCCTAGAGAAAGGAGGATAGATGATCTTTCTTTAATGTCAAAACTGACATAAACATACTTCCCTCCCCCCACTCTTTTGCTCAAGATAATTTTCTCAACAAGACACAGATTGCTTCAGTCTTTGCCTATCACCCTTTGAAGCACTTTCCTTATTATTAGCAGTGGGGGCAGGGTTTGCTTTGAGGATTTTTACAGCAGTGAAGAGTTCCTCCTTTAAATACTTTCACATGATGAGGGAATTCCGCTTTCAAAGTGCTGTCATCACTGTGGGTTCTCTGCCATAAGAATTTATTCTTGGGTGAAGGTCCTTCTTAGCTTGATTGTCATTAAGGACTTACCTTTCTGGATTCCTTTTCTTTCAAGCTTCACTTTTTTGAGAGACACAGCAAAACAGCTCAGCAGTCTTCTTTGTTAACCTCATTGATGATGTTAGCCATGATGCTCCTTAGAAATGTGATCCATCACAGGTCATTACATAGTCTTCAACTTGGTTTCTCTTGTCTCTCTCCACTGACCAAGATTGGAGTGACATACTGAACATTTCAGTTTTGAAAGCTGCCTTTCTTCCACAATGCACATTGTAAATTGGAACGTTTTGAATTATCTTTACTGATTTTATGTTTTTAGTGTCTCCTCCAATGTTAAAACAATACCATCGTAAGCAACAAATAAATGATACAACCATCATTTCAACCAACATTGAAATTTTGTGAGAACCTCCACTTCCTTTCACCCCACCTCTTTGTGCTCTATTCTTGAATGCGGTCTTCTGGAAATTTTTATGAATATTTACTTCATGTTGACAAGGTGCATAGATTTAAGGCCCGTCAGATCATTTGAATTAAGATACACAGTTATAATTAAGTTTTCTCAGCCCTGTTTCCTAAAGATGTGTTTCTTTGCCTTTATGTTTAAATAAATGAATAAAAATGTATTTTGCCTCCCAACTAGATTTCCTCACTTATGTCATGACTCTTACACTTCCCCATTTGAAGAGTTTGGTCATTAGAAAACAATGAATATTGCTTAGTATTCTTTCATTACTGGCTTTCAGAGGCCAAGTCAGTGCAATGATCAAGTAGTCCAGAAAAGGCATTGAGCATTATGCTGATTTCTTAAGACATGCAACTTCCTTTCTGTTAAGGTATTCAAATGAAAGCTCTCTTGGCTTTTTATAGAGGACTAGTGAGATTTTAGCTTTGGCTATGCTGCTTCTGCAACCTTGGCAAGGAAATGATCCTCTGCCCCCTCCCCAAAAGCCCTGCAAAATGAATGACCTTAATTTTCCTCTGTTTCCACACTATGTACATAATAAAACGACTTCCCTGTCCATGTAGGGTGCTGAATTACAGTGACTGAGCTAAGTTGGATACTGCAGTGTGTTTGAAAGGAGTGTATTTTCCCCTTTTCTTGTAAGCGTCTATGATGGGCTATAGTTACTTATCCTCTTGCTTGTTGAATATTTACTGAAAATTAGGGTGGGAAGCATCTGAGCTGTGCCATTGGGAGGCAGTGAGAGTGCTCAGGTCCATGAGTTTAGACTGCCTTCAAGACATTCCTCACCTAGTCAGGGAAGAAGGCATGGAGGAAAGCAACTGAATCTCAGCAGCAGTGAGATAAATAGAACAAGAAATGTCTGTATGGGCTGTGCATGGTGGCGCACGCCTTTAATCCCAGCACTTGGGAGGCAGAGGCAGGTGGATCCCTGGTAGCTTAAGGCCAGCCTGATGGTCTACATAGTGAGTTCCGGAGACTCTGTCTCAAAAAAAAAGCAAAAAAAAAAAAAAAAAAGAAAGAAAGAAATATCTATATAAGAATCAGAGGTAGCATAGAGGAGGAAATATATCCATTTCTCCATACTTAGTTTGAATTCTAGAAATAAGAAAATGTGGGGGTCATGGGAACTGTAGCTTTGCAGTAAATTAAAAAAAAAAAACCAAAACCCAGCAAACTCTCCAGTCTTGTCTTTAGTATTACTCAATCAAGTCCCACCAAGCCCCTACCTCATCCCTTAGTATACCACTACTTTCCCTCAAGCTACTTTCAAGTGTGTTATGCCATGGAAGATTAAGAAGGGATAATATACAATGTTTTCTTTCTTTTCTTAGATAAATAACTTTATTTTTTAATGCCCTTAAATATCATCATGAAACTTGTCTTCACTAACAATTGATATTTCTGTCATTGAACAAAGAACACCTAAATGTGTCAAGTAATCATTATAAACCAAATATTATAGCTTGGATTATGTTCGAGGTATTCTGGGATTTTAGAACATAGGGAGTAATGTGTTTTTAAAAGAATTCCAGTGAATCTCAGCATAGTGAAGTTGGGAGATGTTTAAGTCTAGGTCAGGGTCTTTCTGGTGGTTAGTAGCAATCTTGAGGTCAACTCAAGGAATTAGAAAGTGTTTAAGTTCATGGTGTTAAATCCAGCAATAAGTATAAAAATTACATTCCCATAGTGTGGATGAAGGAGGAGTTTGGGCAGGTTTCTTAGGAAACCTTGGCCTGAGCTAATTCGTTTAAAACTGGAATCATATTATTAAAGTTCGCATCCTCTTTTCTTTAAGTGTGTGTATTAACATGAAGCCTTGTTTTGAAGAGCTTCCTCCTTCAGTGCCTTCTGAAACAGAAAACAATAGGTCACCAATGATTGAGCAGCATCTACCTCTTTCATTGTTTGTGGGTTCAAATTTCAGGAACTCCATACATCTTTGGGGAAATGTTTTAAAAAATGCCCAACTGTATACTCAAAGTCAACCCTACTCACTATAAAAAAAAGTGTGACTTTAAAAACAATAAATAGAATTAATGAAAATTTGGGGGGGGGGGTGCTCCTTGAGAAGCAGTGCCACCTAGAGCTGCCTGGAAATGCTGCTCTCTGAATTTCTCCAAGGAAGGGAACAACAAGCCTCTTGCCCATGAAATATATGCTCTGCCAGTTATACTTTATCCTAGGAAAGAAATTAGGCTGAGATAGAGGCACTAGGATATCCATCTTTATTTTAGCTATACAAACTAAATATTGAAAAAAAAATGGTTTCTAAACAAGCATGGAATAGTTGGAAAGTTAACATCCAGACCAGTCGTTTTGGAAAATGTCACGTTGAAGATTAATAGTGCGTTGAGGTGATGCCTAGTGACTCTGAAGAGAAAGGGTGGTGACAGAGGGCTTTGTAAATCTTGGAATGCTCTTAGAAACTATTGGATGGTCCAAGACTGTCTGAGGAAACAGAAAACCACAACACAACTATAAGCTAAACGTGAGAAAGGGGTTCTTCTGATGTGTAATTTTACTCTTGAAAATTGTGCTCTTTCAGCTTTTGACTTTTTTTCCAAGTTGAAGCAATTAAGCATTAGTCACATGCTGAGGCTTCACCTTCTTTACTTCATGTTTCTTGAGAATTGCATTCTAAACCAAGGCTTTGTCTCCTCTGTTTTGGTTTTGTGCTTCTTTTCCTCCAGGTTGGCCTTCCTTCCACGATGTGATCAGTTCAGAGGCAATCACATTCACAGATGATTTTTCCTATGGGATGCACAGGGTGGAAACAAGCTGCTCTCAGGTGAGTGGACCCCACCTGGACTCCCCATAGGTGGCTCATGCTATACTGCAAACACTTTTAAGACTCCTAGTTATACTAAATATAGCAACTAAAGTCAAGTGACCATTCATAGAAGGGATAGACTGAAGTCTTTTGAAAGTGAATGATACCTTAGTCTTTAGATGTTCAGGAAGACTAAGGAAATGTCAGTCATTGGTTTCAACATTATTAACCAAAGTCATTGGTAGGAAAAACTCTTCATTTGACTTTGCATAGTGGGGAATGGGCCATTCGGGGGGCATATAAAGATTTCATTATATAGCCTTGCATAACCTGGTGTATTCCTAAGCACCTTCCCCCATAGTTCTATGTATACATTGTTTATTCAAAGTGCCTCCAATGGCTGTGATCCAAAAATAGTCAACGAAGACCACAGAAATGGCTCTTCTTCAGTAGAAGATGGAGCGAAGCTGTCAGAAGTGGAACTCAGTGGTCAGCTAGTTGAAGGGACACACAAGATGAGGTGGTTCTTTCTCTCTGTTTCTCCACATGTGCATACTTGTCTTCGTTTCCAAGGATGCTCTAGTTAGTTCTGTCCCATTTCTTTGTAATCAAAGTAATGTGGCTCTAAGAGAGAACATGAGCATTATTGAAGGGGAAGAGAAAGAAGTTGCTTAAGCTCAGAAACATAGCTGAAACTATGTATGTATAGGTAAACATAGCTCAGAAACATAGCTGAAACTTGTATGTACAGGTAAGCAGAGCAATGGCATACTCTGATAGTGGAACTCTCTGATGCTGAGATTTATCCTCCGAGATTAACTTAATTAGATTGGGCCCAGCCTGCATAGCAACATTTTTAAATGTTTCCCTGGTCAATGCTCATAGTAACCTTAATAGGTACTGTTATTCTCCCTTATTTTACAGTTGGGGAAAAAGAATTACAAAGAAAGCAATGGAATTTATGTGAATTTATATAGATCTAAATGGCAGTGCTGAGACTTGTATTTAGGTGGCTTCAGAGCTCTCTATTAGATAGGAGTGTTTGGGGAGGAGAGACACTGGAAAGAGTCAAATTGGAAGAAATATTTAAAAACTAACTCCACAATTTCCTAGCATTGGCTTTAATGAAATTCAGTTTTAATTAAATTGAATTATAATTGATATTATAACTGTTACATAAATCAATTCAGATTATCTACCAAGAATCCAAAATTTTTGACAAAAGACAACTGTAGACAGGACAGTACACTGTAACTTGTGGCTTAGATACATGGTGCCTACTAAACCTCTCTTAAAGCCAATTCTTTTTCTCTAATATTTTTAATTAATTAATTAATTAATTAATTGTGTGTGTGCATGTGCGTGTGTGTGTGTGTGTGTGTGTGCATGGATTCATGCATATATTCATGTGCCACAGTGTATGTGTGTAGGTCAGAGAATAACTTTTGGGAGTTGGCTCTCTCTTTCCAGGATGTGAATTCTGGAGCTTGAACTCATGTCCTCAAGCTTAGTGTCAAGCACCTTTACCAGCTAAGCCACATTACCAGCCCCGGTTCCCTTTTTTAAAAAGCTGCCTTAAACTTGGTCTGTTATATGACTACTTTCCTTTCTTTCACTCATGACCCATTTTCAATTCTAAGTTCTATAAAAAATTCTTTTAAAAAAGTGAGACATAAGATACTAGCTTTCCTAAAGACCCTAATGTCTGGTTTGTTTGTGGCTAATTCTTATAATTCATGGTTGGAATAAGCTTCCTCCTTTCCCTGGGTCAGGCAAAGGTAGCATTAGCAGTAGTTATAGAAAGTCCTTTATGAAAGTGTCTTACGATGACTAAAGAGACTGTCCAAACTAGGTAAGTTCCCCAAAGATGTCAAGCTCATGTCCCTTTAGTAAAGGCCAAGGTATCTTACTGTTGTCTTTGCATTCCAGCTCCTGTGGAAGAGCTGACAGGGACCGGTTCCTCCCAGCCTTCTTTTCCATCTCCTCCACTGCTCATATTCAAACTGTCTGACTCTTTCTTAAAGAAAAGTTTGACATTTAAAGAGAAGGAGATATGTTACTTCTGTTCGGCAGCTTCTCGCTAATCCTGGGCCTGGTGAGCAGTACTTTGTTAGGAGCTTAACCACAGTGCAAAGAGGGGGACTTTCATGGTTCGAGCTGCAGTTTAGCCAAGGCAGATGCTCCCAAAGATAGGTTGCTTGTGGAGCTCTCCTTTTTTTCAGATCAAAATTTGACATCTGGAGGAAATGGGAGACTAATAAATCACTTAACTTTCTTAATAATCTTCAAGGAAACCATCAGATCTGATTTACCCAGTTGTGGGCTCTTTGTTACTATTGCTGCTGGAGTTTATCATAAAGTTCCTTAGGTTTGTTTTAGGTCGTTATTAATTTATCTTGTTAGCCAAGTCAACAGAAAGGTGGATATTCACTAATATAAAGAAATGTTCAACAGTGAGGCAGGTTTTGGTAAGACTCCAAACCTTATTAATCTTGTGTAGATGACAACTCCTATATTGCTGATGATTAAAGATGCCCATGTGTTACAGTAGGGTTTCAGACTCACAACCCATCTCTCTTTTTCTTGATCTTTTGGTAAAATCGTAACACTAAACTGGTAACTTCACAATCATGTCCTTGACAAAAGATTAATATCACAAGCACAGAGGAAAAGAGCCCTTACTTACACACAACTGTCTTCAATAACTGTGGGAGAAAACAGAATACTACTGGCAAAGTAAATTGCTTTTCTTCTTAAAACTGTTTTCTCTTTCCCATCTTGCCCCATGTGCCCAAATATAAAAGTCCTGCTTTGAAAGTGCTTCATGCTATAGATCAAACACTTAAGAGAAAATGACAATAAAGCCCAGGCATCCTATGAGCTAGGAGAAAACCCTCCAGGACAGTGGGAAATACATCAGTGCACAGCTATGCAACTCTGCTGACTGCACGGTTTGTGTGTCTTAGGCACATAGTTGAGAACTGCAGTCAGATTTTAAGGAATTAGGTTAAATTTGATTCTCAGTCCCTTTTTAAAGAGGTCTTTACCTTCAGTTCTCTGTGGGTTCTTTCGTTGCCACATTCCTGAGTGGGGGACTTAAGCCAGAAAGGATTCCTCTGAGAATTAAATTCTTTTCTTTTGAACAGTCTTCTCATGCTTCTTCAGTGAGAAGATGAGAATATTCCGGTGTGGTGTGTATTTGCCTGTAAAATAAAGAACTGCACAAGCCCTAAAAGTTACTGTGAAAGCGCACACTAGAGTCTATCCTAGGCTAAATCACTAACAGCAGGTTTCAGAGATTTCTTCATTGGGCAACCAGTTTGTTTCAGTTACAGCCAGGTGTGCTGAGAGATCCTAACGAATACTAGTTGATGGGGGCCAGGGAGGCAGAGCTTGCAGGTGGCTAAGGAAACAATGCATCACTGACAACTTCCATTCATCATCTCAGCCTCAGACCAGGTTAGAAGCTAGAGGGAATGGGGTCCATGTGCGTTCCCTTTGGTTTGCATACTCTTAAACCCAGTAATAGTTAGGGTTTTTTGTTATTTATTTTATGTGTATGAGTGTGTTGCCTGCATGTGCACCCGTATCATGCAATGCCCACGGAGGCCAGAAGAAGGTGTAGGATCCCCTGGAACTGGAGTTACAGACAGTTGTTAGCTGCCATGTGGGTGCTGGGAATTGAACCTGGATCCTCTGCAAGAGCAGTCAGTGCTCTTAACTGCTGAGGCATCTCTCCAGTCCCCCACACCCAGTAAGAGTTTTTAATGGTAGATGGATATATCTGCACCATTAGTCTTCCCTTTAAGAAACAGCAGACAACAGAGAGCAGCTGTGTATGGCAGAGAAAGTAGCCATCACCTACGCCACCCTCCGTAGCCCACACTGGGTGTGACTCGTTAAAGCCCCTTGTGATGAGCATCATGGCATCATCCTCATCGTTTTCAGGGATGTTTTCCTTTTCAGAGGACTGCTCTACCCTGACCCATGTTGGCTTGCAGATAATTTTGTCTTTTCCTATTTTCCCTTTCTTTGTCTCTCCTTTTTCCTTTTGCCTGTATCAGGGATACATTTAGAACTGAAGCTCTCCTTGCTGCTTAACCAGGGAACTCGTTCCTAATTAGCAAAGGAAAGAACACATTGGAAATCAACTCATTCAACAGACTGAATTACTGTAATTTAGATTTCTGAAAAAGGATGTAGGAAGTGAAGACCACAGAACTCCTAAATGGTTTCAAATATATCCTTATTGCACATTTTGATAGGAAGAAGTGACACAAAAACAGCTTTCTCGGTGTACTCTGGTTAATAAAAGAAAGCAGTATCATTTATTTGGCCCATAGTGCTGTGTTCTCTCAGTAAACACCCATACACACACACCCTACCTAAGGCTTTTATATACAAACTTCATCTCTCAGATGCCAAGTGATCAAAGTGCCAGATCTGCCTGTGAGATCAATAACTGTGCACACACACACTGGTTATCAAGAGCACTAGTTCCTGCTAGCCTGTACCTTGGGTGTTTTCGTAAGCAGAAATAGATGTTTTTCTGTGTCCATTGGGTAAGCATATGGACTTTCACTGGTCCATCTTAGCTACTGATGCCTGGATATTTGGCTTCAGTTGTTTATAGAAAGGAAAAGCAGTCTGAACTGTCAGATTTGATATTACCTAAACCTGCATAGAATGTGGTAAAATAATGCAAGATTTGTTTTTTAGGCATGGTTCATATTTTCTAGGCAATAGATCAAATCAGTTCAAGGTTCATTTTCAGTTCTTTAAGAAGTTGACATGGTATGTTGGCAGTAAAATAAGAATGCTCCTTAACATGGAGTGCCCTATGGTCAAAGCTGCTGCTTTTGCTGTTTATTAAGAACCAGAGAACCCTTAATTGTTTCATTCTCTTCATCTACACTTGCTAACTCAGCCCCAGGTCCTTGTTACCTGATACTGCCCTTCCATGTATGCGTTTTGTCCACTGAACCAGCTAAGTGAGAAGAATTACTAAGTCATCTATAGGCCATTTCTGTCACATTCCTACCTAAATCTTCCCTCTCCCAGAAGTGCTCTCCCCTAGATACTTGCTTCCTTCACATCCTACTCCAGAATCACCTAGGGAGGCCCCCCGACTTGACGCTTTCTCCTCTTCTTTATACCATGCTCCTTTTCCCTTTTGCTTTCTACTGACCATACTTTTACAGTTCATATTCTTTATTGTTAATGTCTCCTACTGACAGGTAAGCTCTCTAAGACCACAGACTGCTGCCAACATCTTCAGAATCTACGACAGTGCCTGGCATGTAGTCGCATTCCATAAATGTCAATTAAATGACCAAGTGAAGTCATTTACTCCAGTCTTTGGCTTCTTTGTTACATGATGAGTTTTGTGTTTCCACAGCCTGTTTGAATGTGGTTCATTAATGTCTCCATTTGCTTCCCCTGTGCTGATGAAGAGAGGGAGATGTATGAGGATGGTACATGTCAACACCTGGAGCCATACCTAGCTTTGAAGTAGGCATTTATTCAGCGAGTAGCCTTTGTGAAGAAGCTGCTTTGGAACCAGATTTCTCCTACACTCCAGCATGACCAACTATTCCTTACTCTCTCTCTCTCCAAGCCTTTCTCCTTCCCCAGCTTCTTGAACAGTCGATTGCATTGATTTCAGCTGAACAGGCTCTTCCTTTTCCGCATATTGTAGTTCCTTGGGACAAAACATCAGCGTGACGTGCCACTCCACCTTTTGGAAGTGAGGGAAAAGCAACAGTGTGGGCTAGACATTTCCACTTGCTGCCCTTGAAGCCTTGGTGACCATGACATAAATCTCCTCAGTCTTACCACTGCTTCATTGAGTTCCAAGAATATCCAGCGCTTGCCTGATGTTAAGTTTTACTGCCCATGAAAGCAAACATCGCCTCGGTCATGGCCAGTTAAATGGTATCTTTTACAGTGGACGTCTGCGTATCTGAAGTCCACCCATCCAAAGCCAAAAGTGATGCTGGGGGGAGAGATTTCATTCTGCCCTGTTTCTATACAAGGGGAGATCAGGGGTCAATTCAATTCATAAATTTACTGCAGTCATTTTTCAGCTGACTGGGAGAATTCACAAATCAAAAAATACAGTGGCTCCTAAATGATTTCTGATATGCACAATTCCAGTGTTTTTTATTCTCAGCATGTGGTGCAAAGCCTGCCAGAAACTATCTCTGCAGCTATTGACAGGCAGATTAGAAATCATCCAGGACGCTTTCCATCGTTTCTGGCCAAGCCGGCCATCCACTCACAGCCGAGCTCTCCTTGGAGCTGCTTTGTGTGTGCTTCTGCCTTACGTGCCATTCTTCTCTTACAGTGTGGTGCTCACCTTGGGCACATTTTTGATGATGGACCTCGTCCTACTGGCAAAAGATACTGTATCAACTCAGCATCCTTGTCTTTCACACCGGCAGACAGCAGTGGGGCAGAAGGAGGAAGCGGGACCAGCATCCTGACCCCAGCAGACAGAGCGGAGCTGTAGAATCGTGGGGAAACATGGAAACAAAGTGTACTTAATGCACAGCTGAGTGAAAAATCAAAATTGTTTATCTTAATAGATCTATTTTTTCAGAAACTATAAAGGGCAGTTTTGTGTTACTGATATTTTTTCTTCTTTTGCTTAAACAGAGGTTCTGCTCATCTGTGTATTTTGCTATTGACTAGATCAGGAACTGTTTGCCAGTTTTGCAAATGGAGACAGCTTTGTGAACTTTCTTCACAAGCCACTTAAGTAGCCTTTGATATTATTTTCTTTCAGCACATACCTTCTTTTGAGTTTTGTTTCTCTTTTGATTCAGAGATAGAGGTTACTTGGTTTTCAAAGGTGACAACAGAGCGCTGGTGTGCAGGGGAGGGAGAGGAGCTGGGAAGGACAGGGCATCCAGACATGTAAGATAATGATGGAGTGATGCCTTAGCAGATTTCTTGGTTATGTGGAAAGTTTGAGCTAAGGTTGTTTTTTCTCACTGAAAGGGTATGAATATCTAAAGTCTTTCCTTATGTTAAATTGTTGCCAGATCTGAGAGGGTTCACTGTGTGTTGTGGCAGAGAAGTAAACATCACCTCACGGTCAAGCCTTTATTTTATTTTCCACTGAAAATAATGGAACATTAGACAACTGTAAATGTTGAGCTCAATTTTGTCCAAAGTTCACAAAGAAGAACACTTGCCCCTTGCCTTGTTACAGTCTTTCTCTCCATCCTTAATGGCTGCCACATCTGGAGGGACATTTTGGTAGATTCCTTGATATAAAATTAAATACTGGGGACAACACACTTCATCAAACAGCAGAAATATGAGAGAACAGAGAAGACCACACATGGAGTCCTGCATACTCTTAACAGTCCAGCACTGTGCAGGAAGGCTGACGGGGCATTACAAGAACCATACAGAAACCAAAGTGGGAACCTTCTACACAGAGCTTCAGGAGACCTGTGGAAAGATGCCAGGCCCAAGTTCCACACTTGACTGTGTGTATGAGGGACAAGCCATTTCACCTCTTTGTGCCTATCTTCATGAACACAATAGGACTCATTTATTTGTAAAATATATCGACACTCTCAGGGCAAAATTATTGTACAATTAAGATCAGTATTGTAAAATTACACTGATCTGGTTCTAATTGCCTCAAAGGCCGAAGCCAGGCATTTGAAATGGAAAGAGGCAGAGACTGACTGTGTTGATGGTATGGAAACAGTTGGGCCAAGAGCCAGTAATTTTTCTTTGTAGCGACATGGCTGGTTTTACTTTGAGAAGCTCTGTGCAGTTGCTTTCTCCATTTACTCTGGTGGAATGGGTGTCACAGAATGGCAGTGGTGACAGAAGTTGATAGCACTGTACCCAGGTGTGAGGGTGTGCTATGTGGCTAATAAACACTGGGTTTATAATTTGAATGCTAATCCTGAAATGCAACTTTAAAGGGTATTTATTTTTCTAAATTTTTGATGACTTTGAAGACTGGCATCTAAGGCAAAAATAAGAATGGACACCTGACAGTTGTAGAGACACAACAACAACAGACAATGAGAAGGCTGTGGCAAGTAAGTGTGAGAGTCACCATGTCTGGAAGCTTGTGTTTCCTCAGGCACCTCCTGGAGGGCCTGGCTTCCTGGTGAGTCTTCACTGTCATGCAGTTCCAGAGGAGTCCTGCTATGATCTGGATGCACAGAGAAGTTCCCTGAGCATCAGGATGCTCCCTCAGCCCCATAAGCTTCATCCCAGGCCCAGGGCCACTCTGGAGTTCACAGACTTCACTCTTCTCTAGCAATAAGGTGTAAAATTTTAGACAAGGCAGGCATCCAGACTGTTCGAAAAGCCTTTCCCAACATCATGAAGGATCCTCTGTGGGGTGACTACAGAAAGACACAGGTCTCACATGGCGTTGTCACCGCCTGCCATCCGTCCTTCAGACCTGCACCGCACTTCCCACCCAGACCCCTGTGTGGTGGCTCCCCAGAGTCCCTTAGATAAGAGCTACAGATTTGGGATAGACAGAGAAGACAAATGAGGGGCTTCTCTCTGTCTCCAAAGACTCTGGGATGTTATCCTTTCTTCATTTTTATAGCAGGATTTAGCATTTTCCTAAAAACAAACAAAAAACCAAACCAAAACAACATTTTGTTTTCTAACCTTTAGCATTAACATTTGTTTTTGTTTTTAAGGAAAGCCAGTGTTTTTTCAGCACCAATTAAAAAAAAATGCAATGTCCATTGAAAGGAGAGAGAAAAAGGGGGGATGTATGTATGTGGTTTAAGTCCAGATTACTTTTGGCTTTAAATGGTATCAAATTTCAATATATTTCTGTCTTATGTTAAAGAAATCTATGACTAAGATGTTAGTGAGCAATAATGTCAGCTTTCGAGCATGGGATTTATTGTCTTGGGATATGGAGAACAGTGAATAGAGTAATATGGTGAGGTGTATGTGATTTGTGCAAGTTCTGCCACTTAACATAGGAGACGCATGGGCCTTCCCTCTGCGTTCCAGCTCCTACCATGTCAGGGGGCAATGCAGGATTTTCTAGTGAGTGGAAACTACGTCCATAGGACCATGCAGAGCAGATCTGAAGAAAGCAGCAGCATCAGTATTTCTGTTGTGCTTAAACGTTTCACTTCTTCGATGTATTTAAATTCTCAATGCAATAACATAGCGATTTGGAAACCTCTCCGTATTGTATTTCAGATGTCTTGCTTTAAATATGAAAAGTGAAAAGTATTATATTTTGAAGGTTATGTAAGATTCTTGACTTAGAAAGCTTTTTAATAACTTTTCTCCCAATGGTTCAAAACTTTTTAAAAGTGACATGAAACTTTCATTTAAAACCTTTTCCTATATTTGTTGTATACGGAAATTAATAAAATTTCTTTATAAAAATATCTTTCCTTCCTCTGATTCTTGACGACTACAACACAGCTGCATGACTATCCGAGTGATTGCAGTGAACTGTCCTGCTTTCCTCTTCAGCCAGAGACTTCTGCCTGTGGAATGTGGGGCTCTTCATAGTCCTTGGGAAGGCCTCTAGGAATCCTCATGACCAGGGTGGAAAAAGACATTTGTAGACTCCTTCAGCCTTTGCCTCACCTCAGCACAATCTTCAGCAGCTCCTCTGTGCTTTTTTGCTTAATATGGAACTTTGAAGAGTTCAGTCCTGATAACTACAGGTGAAAAGTGGAAATGATTCTGTGCTGCTGTGTAGGCATCTGTTAAAGACATGACATGGAGCTGACACAGATGTCAAGGGTTGGTCTCTAGGGAAATATGTGCAGAGTGCCTGCTGCTCAGAGATTAATCTTTACCTTTAAGTCATCTCTACAAGTGGGGCAAAATGACTTACACCTGTAATTCCAGAATTTAAGAGACTGAGGCAGAAGAATTACCATGAGTTTGAGACCAGTTTGGGTTACATAGTGAGTTCCAGGGTAGCCTGGGCTACAGAGAGTGAGACGTTATCTCAGAAAGTCAAACCAAACCAACCAACCAGCCAAACAAACAGAAACCTTTCTACAGGTGGATTTTGGTATAATATTATTTGTTGTTGAAATCTTTGGGGGTTTTGTTTTGTTTATTGGTCTATTTATTTAGGGGAGAAATAGAGGGGGCAATTGAAGATTTGTTTTTCAATCAATTCTTTGACTCAGATTCCTGGGATTCTAAAATGCTAACCAGCAGTTTCAGGCAAGAAACTTCCCCTACAGCACCTCCTACTGTGCGCCCCCCTTCAGTATCAGCCTCACCTGGGAGCTCACTAGAAATGCAGGTCTCATCCCACATTTACATAATCAAAAATTCTAAGTTGGGGCCTTAGCAACAGTATACGCTTTAGTAATCTCTCCATTTGATTCCAGTGTTTGCTCATGTTGGAGAGCCATTACCTTGAGAATTTTACTTAGAAAACTTCTGTTACTGTTCATTTGAAAAGCATTTATAGTTCCAACCATTGAGAGGACCTTAAGTCCAATTATATAGCTATTGATTACTCACAAGATAACAATGCCACTGCTGTACCAATAGAGGGAGTTTGCTGTGCCAGTTGTTATGTTTATGGTCCAATCAATGGTTGGATCATTGACTGATTTTCTCCCTTAGTAGCTTGCATAGTATCCTCTAGAACTATGAGAGCTAGTCTTTAGGGAAAAGGCTTCCAGGTTAGTCCTGTGTCCAAATTATGACCTGTCTTCAGGAGTAGAGTCTTACCTTTGAGTTTTGGGAGATAACCAAGGGCTTGGGCAATAACTCTCTGTTATGTTGGGAGTCTCTTGGGCTACTCTGACCAACCACTCAAAGGGAGGTTTCTCCTGTCTGGCACTGTACTTCTTGCCATACAGCCCCCAGGTATACACATCCAGTAATGTTTAGAGACTGTATGTGTGTTTCTCAGGGGGTTCCCAAGCCAACACATTTCCCTCTGTCTTCCCATGCTACCCATGATCCATCCATTTCTTTTCTCTCTCCCTGTCCAACCTCCCTCCCCCAGTCCAAGCACCCTCATTATCCCCACCCTTCTCCCCATAACACCCACCTACCCCATTGGGTGGCACTGTAATTATAGCCAAATATACATGACTGGAGAGGTCATGGATCCTAGACAAAACCCTATCTCTGTTATATCCCTAGACAAAAGTTCTTACCATATGCTAAATATGAATCCTTATATTTACAGCCAAGTATACAGTACACCACTCATCAAAGAAGCTTCTTTCTGCAGCTGATGGTGGCTACTGCAGAGTTCCACAGCTGGTCACACACAGAGAATATGCATCCAGGAGATGCCCAGCCCTGGGTAAGGTATCTAAAGTAGACTAGGGCTAGGGCTTGTGAAACACAGTGGAACAAGGGATGGAGAGAATGCTGGTACAGCCCTCAAATCTCACCAGTGAAGCTTCCTTATACAACAGAGTGTAATGCCACAGAAGGCCACAACTGGCCAAGTTTTAGAGAATAGGTGACTGCAGAGTGTGTCCTTGGATAGAATATAGGAGTTTATATTAAACCTCACCCACCCATGGCTTGGGTACCATTGTGGAAGAAGGGGCAGAAAGATTGTAAGAGCCAGGGTTGGTCTGTGAACATAGGGAGATAGAGGCTTTCAGGTCATTGGAAGCCTGCTCATGTGAACTTGTAGTTATAGTGGTGTCAAGCACAGGACCCATGCCAGTTCAATCAGACAATGGCCCAGAGCGGTGCATGGCACATGGGCAGTAGACCAGCCCTAACCTGAGAACTGTTGGAGACTGATTACTCCTGGGTGAGATATCTTCCTTAAGATCTCTAGATAGGGCAACTAGACTCCAGCAGATGAACTTGCATCGAAGGACATCCAGGTAAAATGCTTGACTGGATAGGACTTAACATGTATGGCAGAATACGTGAGGCCAGGTGTGGGGGCAGAAGCATGGATGGGGGAGGGGGTCTTAATTTGATTAAGACTGTTGTATAAGATGTACAAAAGCTCAATAATTTCCTTTTTTTTTTTTAAAGCATTTGTATCTTTTTTTTTTTTTTTTTTTTTTTTTTTTTTTTTTTTTTTAAACTTTTTTGTTTTTTTTTTTTTTTTTTTTTGGTCTTTTTGAAACAGGGTCTCCCTGTAGCCCCAGCTGTCCTGGAACTCACTCTGTAGACAAGGATGGCCTTGAACTCACAGAGATCTGCCTGCCTCTGCCTCCTGAGTGTTGGGATTAAAGGCGTGCGGCACCACGCCTGGCTTATATCTAACTTTTAAAAGCAGTTAGCTCGGTCCTGACTGGTTTCCCCTCTAGGAAGGGTTAAGGGTTAAGGGTTCCCAGGCCTCCATTCCTTTCAGCTGCTCTTACCCTTCACTGCCCCCTCAGCTCATTCTGGGGGGCTCACCTGTCTCACCAGCTAGCTATAGTTCTTTATTTTCTGTTTACATTTCTGGGCTAGATCTGAGTACCCTTTAGAGCACAGCAGGGCCTTTCTAGGACCACAAGCTATTATGGCAGGGGTCAGCCTAGCAACTTTTAAGAATTACAGGGCAAATCTCAGTAAATACATTCATACAAGACCTTTCTATCCCTTCATCTTCCTATACCTACACCTTTCCTTGTAGTTGTGATATTTTTAACCTTCACAATTCCTACAAAAGCACCATGAGATATTAGTATATCTCTACTCTGTGTGTGTGTGTGTGTGTGTGTGTGCACGTGCGTGTGTGTGTACGAAACTGCTATCATTATCCGTATTTTAGCAGTCAAAGGACTTCTGGAAAAAACTGTCATCCCCCAAAGTTTGAATTTCCAAGCTGAACACGGGACAGCCCCAGACATGCCCCACATTGCTCTTAGCCATCCTTTCTTGTGTTCATCAAAGCTGATGGAGGTTTTGTTCTTTTATGTGGGATTGAAGAAGTGCCACATGCCACCCAAGACCCCTGCCCATCTTCTTTCAGAGACTGGTCTTGTCTTGAACCAACCTTGAGAGATACAGGCCTCGTGGTGACTATAGGCTTTGAGCCAGGTAGCTCTGAGGCCCTCCAACCAGAAAGGTTGCCATGTGATTGGAGCATTCTGTGGGATATAGCCACAATGACCTGAGATTTGGAAGCCCAATCAGATCATCACCCAATAATGCAGCTTTCCAGACTTTTAGTTTGATTTGGATTATGCTGACATCAGATTATGGAGGCAGGGGCCTCTGTTATCTGAAGGGTTTCAAGCACTCCTTCCGCAGTGTCCACCTTGCCTCTCCCAGCAAACATATACTCTTACTATCACCCAGGCCTGGTAGGCACCTTGACAGGGTTTCTAGAATAAGTAGAAGGGCAAATCAAGTAGTAATTATTAACTGCTTAGTTTGACAGTCATGACAAGGCAAAGGTGCAGAAATGTAAGTAATTAGAAAGTAAGGTTTCCTTGTCTTAAACAACCCTGGAGAGAGTTGTAAAAGTTGACATGTGGCTGCCTAGGACTTTATTCCCAAGGACTTCAATGTCAACATAGGAGTTTACTCTCACCTTAATGAGATCATACATTAAATAATCTTTATGAGTCAGTCACTTGATCCATTATCTCCAGTGGGAGATATGTGGTCTTTTTACCATTTTAAAGCTGATTCCAC